CACAGTAATATTGACACATTTTCATTATGATGTTGGCCAAGAACATTGAAAATACCATGTACTGCCAGAAGATGAAGTACATCTGCCTTGTAAGAAACATAGCTAAATTTCTCCTTAGTGGCTAGGATAGCAAGACTTCATTTCGTGTACTTTGGACATGTTCTCAGGAGAAACCAGTCCCTGGGAAAGAATATCATGTTAGATAAAATAGAGCGTCAGTACAAAATGGGAAGTCCTTCATGAGATGGATGGACACGGTGCTGAAGCAATGTTTTGAAGCTCACAATACTTTCAAGGATGATACAGTGCTGCGTCATGTTTAGTTCCGTTGTATCTGGGGTCACGTTGAGTTGGAGTGAACTCGACGTCACCTCACAACAACTATTACTACTGCTTTGAGGAGACGTCTCTTCTCTAGTCATCTTTAAATGTATATAGGGACTTAGCTTCCAACCTGAGGATGTCATCCTTAAGCACTATACAAAAAACATCCCGTTGTTATTCATAGGGTTTTCTGAGTCTAATTCCCCAGCAGTGGACGGCCAATTCCTTGTTTCTGGTCTGTTCTTAGTCTGGAAGCTCTGATGAAGCGTGTTCACCATGGATGACCCTGCTGGTATTCAAATATCAGTGATGAAGTTTCTAGCACAGCAGGCACATGACAGCCACTACAGTATTAAAACTAAGGCTGACACATTGCCAGTCAATATGTTTTTTGGATTAGAACTACTGCAAGATGTGTCTTTGAATCTCCTACTTTAGTTCTTGAGGAGTTGCCTTTGATCTGGTCTGTCTTGTTTTGGTCCAAGAATATTACCTCTAGCGCCATAATAGGAGTACGCTAGACAGCTCTTTTAATCATGGCCTCAGTTCTGAAAACTAGTAGGGTAGAATAATTGTCCTAGCTGCATGCTAAAATAATTTCTAATATGTTGTTCATGGATTTATTTCTTAATTATTTTGTATACCTATACACTCAATAAACCTGAATACTGGACAAAGCCCCTGACCTCATGAAATGCACATTCTCTTGATAAAGACCATTGTACAGAGATAGACATTTCAGATTAATTTTTAAAAATAGTATAGCAGATGTCATAGGCATTTAAGACAGGGAAGGAGAAGGCTCTGCTTAGAGATGTTTGCCCTGAGGTCCCTGCAGAGAGCACTCACTTGCCTCTGGTACTAGGAGCATTTGGGAGGAAAATGTTGAGGTACATAGAGAAATACTTCATTTGAAGGCCTAATCTTAGAGACGGGAATTGGGTCACCTGGAGCCAGGAGAATACTCTTTACGTATCTGCTAAAAAGTATCATTTTCTCTACTGTACACCATAGCAAGATTGGTCCAGAACATGTTAATGGATACTGTCTTAGAATTAAAGAGTTGCATGGGTCAAAGCAATTGAGAAATATTGAGGGCTCTACCTCCTTTGGTAGATGCAAACCACATAGTAGACTAATAAATAAATGTTCTAAACTAATAGCATCTGTAAGGCATATATTTTTTGCCCATTGCTTCCTTTGTTCACTTGAACAGAATTTATTTTCTCTTATTGACTAAGCGTTCTTTATTGAATCTAAAACTAATTGTATGTGAAATGTACCATTATTTTATTTGCCATCAAAAAGAAAAGAAAGGAAAAAATCCCTCCGCAGGTTATAATTGTAATTTAGAAATGATATGAATTAATTGTAGCATACCAGTGTCAATTTGAAATACTTTAAGATTTGAGAGGTTTCAAAATGGATGATCTTTGAGGACCACGGTGTGCCTGACTCAAGTCATGGCATTTTTCTGTCATCTCATATGCGTGTGTAAACTGGAACATGAATAAGCAAGACTACAGAAGAATTGATGCATTTGAATAATACTGCTGACAAAGAATATTGAACGTACTGTAGCATGAACTGCCAACACAACAACAAGAGCAAACAACCTCACTGCCATCAAGCTGACTCATGGAGACCAGATCAGACAGGGTACAACGGCTTCTTTGAGTTTCTGAGACGTTAACTCTTAGAATAGGAAGTCCTGTCTTTCTCCCACTGAGTGGCTTGTAGTTTCGAGCTGTTAACCTTGTGGTGGAACTTATAACCGCCTCACCACTGGGGCTCCTTTTGGCTACCAAAAGAACAAAAAAATCTGGTTTGGAAGAAGTACACCCAGAATGCTAGCTTGTATTGTTCCTTAGAAACTAGGATGGGGATATCTTGTTTCATGTACTTTGGATATGTTATTATCGAGAGAGATCATGGCTTATGAAGTAGAAGGCCAACGGGTCAGATGAAACCCTCAATGAAATGGATTTGCCGAATAGTTGCAACAATAGGTTCAAACTAAAAATTGCGAGGACGGCACAGGACTGGGTAGTGTTTCATTCATTTGTCTATAAGGTTGATCTGAGTCAGAATACAGTAGACTTGACCCAACAACATTAATACTGATGGAATAAGGGCTGTCTTTTATGTGTTCCAAATGAAAGGGCTTTCTCTCTGCTAAGCCAAACAACACTGTGGCTGAGCATTATTATTAACCACTATGAAGTATAAGTTGAAGGGTTACAAAGTAATGGTGTATATAGCTCACTGATGATTAATATTAGATGTTGCTCTTCCGAAATACAGAACTGATGCTGCAAAATGATGCCACGTGTGGTGTAGCTATCTTTGGGAGAGTTTTGAATGGAAGCTGAAGACTTGCGACGTAGGCTATAGAGAGCCTTGGCAAAAGTGAGTGTGGTTTTAGAACTAGATTGAGCCGATGGAATGAACACAGAGGTGGTATGATGGAGTCAAGTTTCTGAATGTCTTCCAGGCTCTTTTCATATTCCTTAGAAAACTTAGAGGCAATAGGGGATCTTTCAATAAAATTATCTTTTAATAAAAAAATTAAAAACCTAGAGGCAATCTGCTGAATATGACAAGACTATGAGAGAAATAATCTGAATCTGAGTGACCCTTAAAATAATCACCATTGGAATGTCTTTGTTAGATATTCAGTGATAAAGTAATAAACTTTTATTATATTCAACTATTAAAATTTGGAGTTTGATACAAGAATGAGTGTATCTAACACAGGTCATGTAGTTTTCAAATTTCTTTACTTCTTATTGAATGTAGTGACTACCAAGAATACCAAGGGAGGAAAATGAAGCTTTCTATTTCTTAGAGCTGCAGTCTAAGAAACCCAGACAGGTGGTTCTAGCGTGTCCTGTAGGTCAGTATGAGTTGGCAGCATTGACCCCATGGCAGTGAGTGAGGGTGAGAAATAATACCAAACACTCTTTCTAGCTGTCTGGTGAATATGAGGTTCCTCTCTTGGTTCAATGATGCAGACCCTGATCTGAGTTTGCTTTTCATAAAAGGGATGGAACACCAAGTAGCTTCCTGGACTTTCTGAATGCGTCTCTGCTGTGTTGTTTCAACGTATGCTCATTATTCTACTGCAGTGGAAAGTATAGATTCGTGATAGTGAATAATTACCACTCTCTTACCTCATTGTCACACTGTAGTGATGGTCGGATCATAAAAAGAGGCAAATAAGATTTGATAACCAAGTTGCTTAACAATTATCACTTACATCTGCCATGTAGCATCTGTGCCAGAAGAGGAACACAGAGCTTAGATTTCCGGATTAAGGTCAGTAGGTGACTTTCATTTCTCATGAATAGGATCATATTAACAAGACACTATCAGTCATTCTCAAGTCCCGGAATTTTCCACTGAGGCAACTGTGTTTTAACACATATATTAAAACCTCAGGAGCTACATCTTGGAGGATGGCTGGGGTCTGATTGGACCTTTTATCTCAGGTCTCATCTTTACCAGCAAAGAGTTTCTTTTCAAATGGTGGGAAGAAAGAACATTTGCTCCACTCGTCCTTATGTTACTCTATTCACTTAAACTCTGTTTCTTCATAACAGTCCTCAGTTATGTCTACTCCTACTTGTCTCAGTCCTTCAGAGCTGGACTGTCTGTGTCTGTGGGTTTGGGTGATAGAGCAGAAGGTATAAAACACAGCTACAAGGTCAGCCTCCATCTCAGTCTAGTTCAACATTCTCCCTCACAATTTGCCTTGAGACATGATGGAGTTGAAGGGCTACAATTATGCATCTTTTACACTATGTACTTTAGCACACACATTGCACTCGCTACATACCAGATATGGGCATCACAATTAGCAGCTAACTTATTTCTGAAGCAATATGAACTTGCTCACTGTCATTGAGTCAATGCTGCCTCATAGCTACTATATAGGACAGTGTAGATCCATCCTTGTGGGTACCTGACACTATAAATCTTTGCAGAAGTAAGGCTTGTAGTTCTCCTGAGGAGCTACTAGTGGTTTTGAACTGTTGATCTCATGGTTAGCCGCCCAAAGTGTAACCTACTATTCCTCCCAGGCTCCCATAGCAACACTAGGAAGCATATATTATTGTGATTATCTTCATTTTATCCACATTCTTAATCACCACAAAAGATAACATTTATAAAATATTATAATGAATCATGTATAAATTATTATTAAATATTTTAGTGGTCCAAACAATGTCACATGGCCATAAGTCATCAGTTGTGGATCAGGATTTGATCCTGAATCCTAAGTGTTGTGAGTAATTCCTGATCTTTTCAAACAGGTAGCTCTATTTAAAAATCATTTTCACACATGTTACCTTGTACGCATTTTCTGGGATGGTAAATAAACTTCAGTATGATGAGGGCCTTCAAAAATTCCCGGGGGGAAAAATCCCGTTAGGATTCAACCCAACTTTTCCATGGACTTTCTGAAGCTCCCTCATAGCCCAACATTTTCAACATCCTGTCCTAGAAAATTATGCTGGCTGTTTTACCAGTTTCATTTTTTTTTAAGTTCACTAAGGCTAGAGGTCAGATGACTTCCTGGGATAAAAGCCAGCTTCCTCTTGCAGTTACTCCAGTCTCTGCTCTGCAGGTTTTTTTTCTTCTTCTTCTGACTTCCCCTCTGTGACTGGACAGATAAATATTAGAGAAACAAAAGTTCTGAACGCTAGCACTACCAGTCTCACTTCCTCTCTCTGATTGCCCAGCTCTGCTTTGAATAGTCTTTGCTGTGGGGCACCAGCTTTGGAGAGGAGACTCCGGAGCCTCAGAGCCCCCCAAACAAGTTTTTGCCTTTGTGTCATGTTTTCAAAGGGTCACTGCTGCTCCCAGAAAATGCCAGGATGATATCTAGCTCGTGCCTGGCTAGGACTCTGATACCAGCCATGGCCTTCCTCTCCTGCCTGCGACCTGAGAGCTGGGACCCCTGCACAGAGGTAAGGGGTCGGGTCAGCTCTTTTACCATGAGCTGTGCCTTATTTCGGGCCAGGGGTGGGGGAAGCTACTTTATGTTCCTGTTTAACTTCTTTTTCAACAAGGAGTCAAATTACATCAACTATCTGAGAAATTACAGGGACCAAGTAATTGTTGTGGGCAGGTAGTGGATGGGGTCCTGTGCTAGCTGGGGCATGAAGAGCTAGTTGAGGTTTGAGGTCAGATAGAGCTAAGAGTTTCTGGATGAGTGACTGTGAGCAAGCTAATAAACTTCTCTGAGACTAGTTATTTAACATAAAAAAAGGATTTTCATGATTTTTGTCATACAACCTTCCATAAGTTGTAAGAAGGCTGCTTCAATAACATTCCTTCCTGCTTCTGGTATGGACTATCAGCTTTCCTCGGACAATCACTGGAAAAAGGCTTTTTTTTTTCTGGTCTCTCAATAGAATGTTTTAGACTTCTGTAACCACACATAATTGTAGCCTTGTATCTAGAAGTTGGGAAAAATTAGAGGGACCAATGATTTTCTTCACCAAGTCTGGAGAAAAATTAATAGATAAAGATGATAGGCTGTGATGAGAGGGAGAGGAAAAAGAGAGAGGTGACAGATCAACTAATACGCTCACTGTTGGTGTCCTTTGTGAAGCACGGGTCAATTGGATGGTGATCTGCTTCTTTAGGAATCTTTCTTTTTTTCCCTTATGTGTGGAGTTGTTGACAGTTGTTTTGAACGCCTTTAGCAGAAATGAACAGCCTGAAGATTTTTCTGGAATTTAAAGCAGCGCAGGGTCAGTGAGTTAAGAGAAAAGTAGAAAGCGAAAGTCGTGAAGTTGAAGACATAGTGGGAAAATCGTGTACTTAAATATGTAACAGAGACTAATTCCTCATCAATGCCCACACTTCCTTGTTCTGTGTGCACGACTCTATTCCTGTGAGTCTTCCTGTCTGGCTCTCTCTTGCTGTTAGGCTAATGGAGGCTGCTTTCCCAATCAGGGGCAGCCCAGAGCAAACTCACACCCCCTTTTCTCCATGATTCATATTCGGTTATTCCCCAAAGCCTTTCTCCTTCCTTGCTCGTCTTGGGCTGCCCCTCAGCTCATTCGATCTTAATTCTTAGTGTCAGATTTCCTGTTGTCCTTTATTCTGTACTTTTTTTGGTTGTTTGCTTGTTTATTATATTTCCTAAGGCTTGGATTTGACATATTATTCCCCTCCTTAAAAACCCGTCAAGAACTCGCCATTGACATGTGGATAGCTTCCTATCACACAGCTTTTGCAAGCTCGCTCCTCAGCTTAGAGTCCTTCCCCCCAATCCCTTTCCAAAGAAAAAGATACGTAATTAAAAATATCCATATAGTCACATTCTAAAACTAAAAAGAAAATGGGTTAGGTTCATTTTAACAATGTCTTTAGGTAAACCAGGGGTTGTACCTATTTCAGCAGTTAATGCATATTCAAATTATTGATGCAATATTTTACAATTCCTTTTACTACTGTATCTTAAAAATCAAGTGTATGGTTTGCATTTACAGGACAAGCCAGTTCAAAAAATCCACATTTCTGGTGTTCAGTAGCCATGTGTGACTCATGCCTCTTATATTGGATGAAGTAGGCCTAGCTATTTCTGTAGCTTAATTTATTATTCAAAGCTCTGCCTTATTCAAATCTCACTTCATTCAGTGCTCGGCTCAGATGCCACCTCCTCAGGAAAATCTTTCTGATTGCCCCGTGTAATATACTTCCAGACTCTCTGTTACTGTAACTCGTGCCCTTAGGTGCTATTGAGCTTGTTAAGACTCATAGTGACCCTGCGCAAACAGAACGAAGCACTGTCCTGTCCGGTGCCCTCCTCCAATTGTTCCCATGCCTGAGACCCTTGTCGTAGGCAAGGTGTCAGTCCATCTCCCTGATGGATTTCACTGCCCCTCCACTTCACCTGCTTTCAAGAGCACATCATTATTTCTACCGTTCCTTTTTATTCTTACTAAATGTGTCTCTCTTTTGTGTGGTTCTATAACTATTTTATAAAAGCAGTCTTATTGGGATATAACTCACATGTCATATATTTCAATAGTTCAATCATATCAATCATTCCTACAGCCAATTTTAGAGCATTCTCTTTTTTCTTGTATTCGTTGGTAGGAGCTCCCTATTGCCCCCCAAATTCCCCTGCCAGACCTTCAAGAAACCATTAATCCAGTTGCTGTCTCTACAGATTTCCCCGTTTTGGATTTCATATACAGAAAAAACATAAAAAACAAAAACAGAGAAACAAAAAGCTAACACAAATAAAAGAAAACAGAAAAACCTCAATTGAAAAGAAAAGAGAAAACATTAAAAACTAGAGCAACTTTAAAATGGGGCAACAGTGAGACCAAATGATTAGGTGTTAAATTTTAACCTAACTACATTTTCTAATGTGCTCTGCATGTTAGCAAAGCTACCCACAAAAATAGTTATGGTCCAAGGGATTCACTGGAGATTTAATCCACATGTATTTATCCTTCACTTTTTAAAAAATGGAAACATTTTTTAAATGGGCCCAAATGGAAGTAAAATAAGATATTACATTTTAACCTGACTAAAGCTTTCTGATAACAAGGCTATTCACCTCGTTGGATTATGATCAGAAAGGATTCACTGAAGGCTTACATGCATGGACCCTGAAAATCAAGTTTGGCTTCCACTATAGTCAAGCGCCTTCTGCAAACCAGGTGTTCACAATTTAAACTTTGCTACCATGTTCTCCTTCAGAGTTGGGTCACATTATTTACAGTCCTTGGATCACACCAGCTGGTGTGCTTCTTTCATGTGAACTTAGTTGATGCTTCACTTAGATGGCAGCTTCATTGTCTGTCCCCCTTTGGATTGGAATGTGTAAGAGGACAGGACCATTGCTGGTTTATTTATCACAAAATTATTAGTGCCTACCACATAATGACAGCTCAGTTACATATGCGGTGGCCTCTGAGCTGATGCCAGCTACACACCTGCTTGCTCATGCTACTTGTCAGCAATTCTAAGTTAGTTAGTGCCACTTCTTGTTCACACAGTTCCCTCCTTATGAAACACCCTTCTTCCCCTTTCCATATATCCAGAACTTCATCTTCCTTCATGATCCACTTTACAATCACCTCCCTCTAGGAAACTTTCTAAGATTCCTCTACTGAGAGCCAGAGTCCTATAGAACATATTACTGAGAGCCAGAGTCCTCTAGAACATATTCTCCAAACTTTTTCGTGGTAATTTTTGATAGTGTTAATTGTGTTTCTGTCTTACCTATTCCTTTGGACTGTGAGCTCATTGAAATCCGAGGTTTCCTTCTGTAAATTAAAAATAAAACAAAAACCAAAGCAAAACCAAAAACTCTTGCTCCAAATGCTGAGGAAGCAGTAAGATAAAATCTAGAGTTTTCAGACGGCAGAGACTCAGCCCTTCGTCATTCACCTCCATTTCTCTTGTTAAAATATGATCATAGTTTTAGCAGGGATCATAATACTGTGTATACGGTAGATGCTCTTTCCCCCTTAATTCAGAGTGGGCCATTTAATATGAGTAGCCATGAAGTGAGTGGATATATAACTGGATAAATAAATGGGGGTGGTGAGGAAAACAAACAAACAAACGGTTGATTAGTTCCTGTGCTTGTACTAGAGGCACCCTAGATACTATCTGAGGATGAGGGCACTGGTCTGATGCAATCCTCATGCAGCAAGACACTGCATCTAATTGTGATCTTTTTAGGTGGTTCCTAACATTACTTACCAATGCATGGAGGTGAATCTCTACAACATACCTGAAAACCTTCCCTCATCAACCGAGAACCTGGACCTGAGTTTTAACTTCTTGAGGCACTTAGGCAGCCATAACTTCTCCAAATTCCCAGAACTGCGTGTGCTGGATTTATCCAGGTAATGAATGCTCTTTTACATACTGACAAGGTGAGATGTTCATTGTCCTTTCACCCATTCTAGAGTCTCACCTTCATTCATTTACTCAACAGATGTATTTCTTGCTATATCATTTTGGGCAGGCCACCCTTTCTCCAGGTCTCAATACCTTCTTTGGTAAAATGGGCAGTTGGTAAGATGGTCTCTACGCACCATTCTAACTCAGGATTTTGAAGTCAGGATAGAAAATTGGCTTAAACATGTTTTTCTTTCCTATGAAGATATTTATTGACCACTAGTTATATATTGTACATTTTACTATGAACAAGAGTACATTGATGTGCAACATGCCACCCCCTCTATTAATGAAGACATATTCACTTGAAACATACCACTCCCTCTGTAAGGAAGGCATATTCCCTTCAAGGCATATTCATATATATATGAAATGCTCCTAAATTGTAACACTTCATATTATGCTACAATTGTATGCCCCATCTGTATTCATTTTCCAGGGCTGCTGAGAAAAAAAGATGACACATACCTAATGATTTATAAAAATGATTTTGTTTTCGCATGCTTTTGGAGAATACAAATTTAAATCAACATGGCTGTCAGTCCACGTGCTTCTACAATCTTCTGTGGAAGATCCTTTCTTGTCTCTGCAGCTTCTAGCAGCTCCAGGAAAGAGTCTGTAAATAGAGTTTCACATCATCATCCTTCCCCTGTGTCTTCTCGCCCTTATGAGAACGGCACTCAGAAGACATTAGGCCCATGTTAGCTGAGAACATCTTCAAAGTCCTATTTGAAAATAACTTTGAATTCCCTGGTACAGAGGGTTGGGACTTCAGCCTATCTTTTTGGGGAGAGATGGAGGGGCACAATTCTAGCTATACTGCTTCATGTTCTATGGCTGCCACTCACTTCGGGCCTTTGTATCTGTTGTTCACATCACCTCTTTTTCTTTTGAACTCCCTTTTCCCCCTAATAAATCATTTTATTGGGGGATCTTACAGCTCTTATAACAATCCATTCATCAATTGAATCAAGTGCATTTGTCCATATCTTGCCATCATCATTTTTCAAAAGATTTTCTTTCTACAAGAGCCCTTGGTATCAGATCCTCTTTTTCCCCTCCCTCCCCCGTCCTCCCGCACTTTGGACCCTTGATAAATTATATATTATTATTATTTTCATCTCTTACACTGTCTGCTGTCTCCCTTCAACCACATTTTAGTTGTTCAGCTCCCTTGGGTGTGTGTGTATATTTTATGTTGATCCTTGCTATCAGTTCTCCCTTTCTGCCCCTTCTTCTCCCACCTTCCCCTTACACTCATTGCATTACTACTCCTATTGCTGTTCCTGGGGAGGGGGGGATATCTATTCTGGATTCTATGTGTCGAAAGCTCTTATCTCTACCAATATACATGGTCTAGCCAGATTTGTAAGGTAGACCTGGGGTAATGATAATGGGCAAAGGAGGGTGGGGGGAGCATTAAGGAACTAGAGGAATGCTGTGTGTTTCCTCAATGTTACACTGCACATTGGCTGACTCATCCCAACCTTTTGGCCCTATGTGAGGGGATGTCCCATTGTTTACAGATGGGGTTTGGGTCTCTACTCCGGCCCCCCTTGTTCACATCAATATGATTGTTTTGGATTTTCTGATGTCTTGGACCTGATCCCGTGGGCACCTCATGATCACCCAGGCTGGTGTGCTTCTTCCGTGTGTGCTTTGTTACTTATCTGCTAGATGCTCACTTGTTTAACTTAAAACCTTTAAGACCTCAGGTACTATATCTTAAATAGTGGAGTACCATCAGCTTTCTTTATACAAAGTGTTCTTGTTCTAATAACCTCCTATAAGGGGAGGCCAAGGGTAGAGGTCCAAAGTCCGACTGGTACCTTAATAATTAACGTACACCTATAGCCCTGTGTTAGTCTAGGTTGACTAGAGAACCAAGTTCATAGATATTTATATGTGCATAAGAATGAGATTTGTATACAAGAGCAATTGTATATTGAGAAAATATCCCAACCCATTCCATATCAAGTCCATATGCCTAATATTAGTCCATATGTATGATATTAGTCTATAAATTCTTCTTCAGACTGACAACATATGCAATGACACTGAATGCAGGAAGATCACAGGTCAGTGTGTGGAAAGTCTTATGGATCCAGTGGCAGTGGAAGCATCTCAGCACTGGCAGATATCTCCACGTGGCTCCTTCAGTGCCAGAGTTCTAGCATAGCTCCAGGTGTCTTCTCAACAGGAATGTCTTGCAAAGAGTGAGTGAGTGTGTCCTGCCTCCAGCAAGCTTTATCTCCTTAGTGCTTCCAAGTGAGACCATCAAGCTGCAACCTGGTTGACAGGCAAAACTCCACCCCTTCACTCTTAAGTCTCAAAAAGACAACAGATTATGTAACCACCACAATCCCTATTGTTATATATTAATATATTTGAATATATAATGCCTATATTTATAGTTCTATAAATGTCTTTTGCTTCCTAGTTCTTTCCTTTATTACTTTTTACTTTCCTTCTGTCTCACTGTCATGTTCGATCTATATTCAGCTCTCAGTACTTTCTCCCAGCTACCTTGTATTGATCAACCCCCATCAGACATCCTGTACCCTCCTTGTCATCCATATTAGATCCCTTGTTGTTCCCTTGTCCCTGAGTTTCTTGGCTACCTCCTCACTTTCCCCCACCTGCTCCTCTCCCATGTCCCTCTGGAACCATCGGTCCCATTGTGTTGTTTTCTCCTTGGGGTTTTTTAACCTGTCTATCTTATATATAGTCATAAAGATGAAAGAAAGAAATACAGGAAGGAAGGAAGGAAGGAAGGAAGGAAGGAAGGAAGAAAGAAAGAAAGAAGGGGGGAGCCTATAGAAAGTTTTGTGTCTGTCTGATTACCCTTATAAATGTTTTGTCTGATGAGGTGCCAAGCCCTGCCCCCTGAGTCAGAAGTCTGTTAGGGGATTTCTCGGGGACTTTGTTGTTTTGCTCCCCTTGGTGCACTATTGCATTTCCTTTGTGTTTTGTTTTGTCTCATGGTGGGGCTAACCCTACAGCCCTTTCTGTGCATTGGCTGCTCTGAGCAGGAATATCTCCTTGAGACTTGGGTCAGGATGTGGTCCACTCTCTCTCTCTTTTTCCCTCTTAGTTTGCTCCCGTGTGGTTTTTTAGACCCACCACCCACCCGGACTATATCTTCAGTGCTGTGCTCTGTAGTGTATTCTTCTGTGGAGGCGGTCAACATAACTGGGACTGGAGGCAGCCCTGCAGAACTCTCTGTTAGTTCTCTGCTCCATGCCAGTATGTTGCCTTCAAGGCTTGGTGCACCAAGACGAGGTCTCTTACTCATCTTTCATATTTCACCTTAAGTGTTCTCAGAGAAGCCTGCTTTGACATACACTCCCTTGTGTAGATCAGTTATCTTAATATAAATTTTCATAGCACCCTTACTTCTGCCCCTAGAAAATTCACTCACATCAGGTATTACAAACATTTATTTATGATCATGGCACCTTTCAAATGTCCAGCTCTATTCAATAATTTTCATAAACATTAATGGTATCCCTGACACTTGTAAATTTCATGTCTTTGAAATTGGCCTTCACCAGTCACTTATCCCTGTGGACAGCTCATTCTCTCATCTGTATGGATCAGATATATAATCACAATTATTGAAGATGACTAAATTTCATCTAAGGATATTACATACACTACCAATCACACAATTGTCATGCACCCCAGTCATTATTCTTCCAATGATTTTCTTCTGGTGGCTTTGCTGTCTCTGCTGAGAATATGCACCAGGTATAATAAGAAGAGTGCACTGATGAAGCCAGTATGACAGTACTGGATCAGTGAGAAGTTTTTATCTGTGCATGATTTCCTATGTTCTGATTGATAGCTTTGCCTGGATACAATCATATGGCAAGACACATTCTATGAAGAAATAAACAGGCTTTCTTATTCTAATTTGGGCTTGTATTGTGCAGAAATATACCTAACGTGTATCTCTTTTACATGTAGGTGTGGAATCCAGGTAATTGAAGATGACACATACCAGGGACTGAACCAACTCTCTACCTTGATTTTGACGGGAAACCCTGTCCAGCATTTAGACCTGAGAACCTTCTCTGGACTATCAAGTTTACAGAAGTTAGTGGCTGTGGAGATAAACCTAAATTCTCTAGAGGACTTACCCATTGGGCATCTTAAAACCTTGAAGGAGCTTAATGTAGCTCATAATTTTATTCATTCCTTCAAATTACCTGAATATTTTTGTAACCTGTCCAATCTGGAATACATGGACCTTTCCAATAACCAGATCCATAATATTTATCATAAAGATTTGCAGGTTCTCTATCAAATTCCCTTTCACAATCTATCCCTAGACCTGTCCCTGAACAAGATAGACTTTATCGAACCAGGTGCCTTCAAGGATATTAAGCTCCAAAAACTGGTTTTAAGGAGTAATTTTGATAGTATGGATGTAATGAAAACCTGTATTCAAAGTCTGGCTGGTTTAGAGGTCTATGAGTTGGTCCTTGGAGAATTTAAAAATGAAAGACAATTAAATGAGTTTGACAAATCTGCCCTGGAGGGACTTTGCAATCTGACCATTGAGAATTTCCGGATAGCATTCTTTGATGAATTCTCACTGGATGATATTGGTGTATTTCATTGCTTGGAAAATGTTTCTGCAGTTTCTCTGTTAAATCTATATGTGAACCATTTAGAAAGGATTCCTAAGGAATTCAGATGGCAATCCTTGGAATTGATTGACTGTGATCTTGAACAGTTTCCCACACTAACACTCTCATCTCTGAAACGGTTTATTTTCACTGCCAATGAAGTTAGTAACACATTTGGAGAGCTCGACCTACAAAGCCTTGAGTTTCTCGATCTTAGTAAGAATGGCTTGAGTTTCAGGAGTTGCTGTTCCAGTCGTGATTTTGGGACAGTAAGGCTGAAGCATTTAGATCTGAGCTTCAATGAAGTTATTAGCATGAGTTCAAACTTCGTGGACATGGAACAACTAGAACATCTGGATTTCCAGTACTCCACCTTGAAAAGGGCCAATGCTTTTTCCGTATTCCTATCACTCACAAAACTCCGTTACCTTGATCTTTCTTATACCAATACCCATGTCACTTTCGACGGCTTCTTTCATGGCCTGTTCAGCCTGGAAGTCTTGAAAATGCCTGGCAACTCATTTCAGGGCAACTCCCTTCCAAATATTTTGACAAACCTGGGTAACTTGACCTTCTTGGACCTCTCTAATTGCCAGTTGGAAACGATAGACCCAACAGCTCTGAACCCGCTCGGGAAACTTCAGGTCCTAAACATGAGCTATAACAAGCTCTTGTCTTTGGATCTATTTCCCTATGAAAATCTCAGCTCCCTTCAGGTTGTGGATGTTAGTTTCAATCGTATAGTGACCCTCCAGATACAAGAACGATACCATCTTCCAAATAAACTAACGCTCTTAAATGTTACCCAGAATGACTTTGCTTGTGCTTGTGAGCACCAGACTTCCCTGCAGTGGATCAAGGACCAAAGGCAGCTCTTGGTGGATGTTGAACAAATGCTTTGTGCAACACCTGCCGGTATGAAGGGCCTGCCTGTGTTGAGTTTTAGAAACACCACCTGTCAGATGAGCAAGACCATCATCAGTGTGTCTGTTCTCATGGTGATCATGGTGTCTCTGGTAGTAGTTCTGGTCTATAAGTTCTATTTCCACCTCATGCTTCTGGCTGGCTGTAAAAGGTATGGTAGAGGTGAATGTACCTATGATGCCTTTGTGATATACTCTAGCCACGATGAGGACTGGGTAAGGAATGAGCTGGTAAAGAACCTGGAAGAGGGAGTGCCTCCCTTTCGGCTCTGCCTTCACTACAGAGACTTCATTCCTGGTGTGGCCATCTCTGCCAACATCATCCAGGAAGGTTTTCACAAAAGCCGGAAGGTTATTGTCGTGGTGTCAAAGAACTTCATCCAGAGTCGCTGGTGTATCTTTGAGTACGAAATTGCTCAGACCTGGCAGTTTCTCAGCACTTGCTCTGGCATCATCTTCGTCATCCTGCAGAAGGTGGAGAAGTCCCTGCTCCGGCAGCAGGTGGAGCTGTACCGACTACTCAACAGAAACACCTACCTGGAATGGGAAGACAATGCCTTGGGGCAGCACATCTTCTGGAGGCGACTCAGAAAAGCCCTGCTAGCTGGTAAACCACAGAATCCAGAAGGAACACCAGATGCAGACATGCAGCCTGAAGCTACATCTGCCATGTAGAAACTTTGGGGACTCTTTCCTGCCCAGCTTTCCTGGGCCTAGCAATTGTTCACTTCGCAACCCTGAAACCAAACCCAGTTCCACCCAGTTCCAACTCATAATGACCCTATGGCACAGACTACACTTGCCTCATAGGATTCTGAAGCTGTGAATCGGTCCAGAAGCAGACTGCTCTTTCTCCCTTGGACTGATTGGTGATTTCGAACCACTGGTCTGTTACTTGGCATCTGAGTGCTTGAATTACTATGCTACCAGAGCTCTTTATTCTGCGAACAAGCGTATGCCAGATGTTGCAACGTACTACACGCTATTCCAAAGCCAGACCATTCAGAGGTGATGTAAGACACGCAGGGCTGCCAATTAATCTCAGAGAGGGAATAAATGCCATGCTAAAATAGAGAATCTTCAAGGTTAGTGGTTTTGTTTTGTTTTGTTTTGTTTTGTTTTTAAGATTAGTGTTTTCACCAACTCAGCAACTGGTCCATTACAGGGAAAGTCAATTAAACTCTTCCCACCAAATCAGATTAGAACTAAGAGTGAGATCAGAAACCCTGCGTTTTTTGAATAGCGACCACCTCATGTTTTCTATTATGTTGTTAACTTCTGTTGAGTCTGCCCCAACTCATGGTGACCCCATAAGCTACAGATTGGAACTGCTCTATTGGGGTTTCTCGACTGTAATCTTCATGGAAGCAGTTTCCTAAGGGCTTTCTTCCTTGGAGCAGTTGAGGGCTTTGAACTGTTGCCTTTTACAGCTACTTAGAAGCCACTTAGGCTCATAATATGTTTAAGTCAAAATCAATATTTTAATAGTTTCAATGGAACTGGGTGGTTTTTCATTTTTCCTTTTGTATTCAATGTAATTTAAATTCTACTTGATTATTTTGAAGGCAAGTGATTCAAGACCTTCCTTTTTCTTCAAGACAGTTTTCTTCCAAAGGTAGAACTCCTATAACTAATTCCTGAGGAATTGTCCACACTCACTAATATGCTGGTCGTCTCACTAATACACAAAAATGCTGTATTTGTGCATTAAAAATCTATGATGTATATTTTGTCTCTGTAAATCAAGTTCTCATTTTAAAAAGTAGTCCATCCTCCTGTGTCATAAAGAAGCATGTTGGGAACATGCTGGAAATATCCATATTTAACCATTACTTTTTAAGCAAATGTGTCAAATACACTGACTTTATATCATTCGATGTCATACATAATAAAGAATTATCTTCAGGGGACAGCATTGGAATGGTTTGTTGAAAGTGGCACTTGATTAGTACGGAAAGAAGTCCAACTTCCTGATTTTATAGTGGGCAGTTCCGATTAGACACAATAGGAAGGGCAGATGACTTTGGACAGGACTTTTTATTGTCTCAGAATCACATGGGCTAATAATGTACTTGGGGAGAACACATGACCTGTGTTGCAAAAATGATTTTTCTCAGGTACGTATTGTTTGATGGAAAATTCAATCCCTTCTGAGCATAGCTATCAGTCCCCTTAGGAATTTGCATTTCCGCCCAGTTATACTAAATTAGAAGCTATCGTTGATCAAGATTCCCCAGGCGATTCTTTATAGAGCTATAGGTGGTTCTTGGACCCACCAGTTCTCACTGCCAGAAAAACTGCTTATGAAATGATTCAAGAAAGGGAACTCATACTTTTGCTTTCGGTGGTGACATTATTTCTTGACTCATGGAAGTTATCATTGAGAAAGCAATGTCCCTAGGGTTATTGGTGGTCATGATAAGGGGAGTTCTCAGAAACTCACACTCACCCAACTTCCCCAGAGCTGGTGCAAAGAAAGGGCAGTGAGAACACATGAAAAATCCCATTGCCAAACTCTGGAGATACGACCACACTTAGGAGTGTGTCTATCACACTGTTTTAGTTTGAGCACAACTGACATTGCTCCTGGTGTGTTTCTACGTCTTGGGTGCTGGTGAAACTGGGTATATGCGTTTGTACACATGCCTCTGTGTTTGTCAGTGCTCATGTGTATGTGCTAGTAGGTGTGTCTGTGTGAACAGAAAAGGAAAAGTGACTATATTGCTTGGGGAATATGTACATTCATTGCAGACGTTGACAGCTGCTTGCTATAGGTTCTTCATGGTTGTCTTTGCACGTGATTGCTTATAGACACATGTTTGAGTTCGTTTCTGATTGCTTGAGGGTTTGTGTTTGGTTAAGCCCATGCTGTACATGTGGGTGTGCTTCTGCTTATATTTGAGTATGTATTCTGCATATAAATGTTAGTTCAAGCAAATACACAAAGCCCTAGGGATTAAAATTGAAATACAACTGGAGTGTTCTCTTTATGCAAGGCTGCCACTGCCCCCGCTTCCTTGAGAATCCTAGACATTGCCGCTGAGGTAGACAGGAAGGCAACGACGATATGGCCAAAGCAAGACGAAGCAAGAGAAAAGCCAGGGCTTGGATGGATGACTTGGGGCTGTTTAAGTCTTTTGGATGAGAGGAGCCGGTAAAGAAGAGAGACACCAATATTAATTCTAATGCTATCAATTTATGCCAGACCCTATAACTCCTAGCATAACCACATAATTATAAACACATTTAGATACCTCATTTACCAGTCAAGGGAGGCAGATCAAGACGCATTATCCCCATTTTGCTGATGTGAAGCCTGAGGCTCAATAAAGTAAATTTCTTGTCAATAGACTGCCCACTGAGCCAGAGGCAGGGGCATAATCTGTGTATCTGGCACGCTCCGTCCCGGTTACTTTCCACTACACCTGTGGCTTCAAGTTGGCAGCGGCAGAAGTGAAACCCCTGTCGTTCCACCTGCAGAGCCCTGCAAAATGCCCCTTGTGGTTGGCCTCAGTGGAGGTGTTTTCACTAAAGCCTTGACTTATTAGTGAAATACAGATCCACAGATGATATATATATATATAAAATCAATATGTATATGTGTGTATGTATGCATACCAAATGGTTTATAACAAAATTTAAAACTTATAGAAAACTCATGATGACCTTGTGGGCATCAGAGGAGAACTGTGCACCATCAATTCAGCATTAGAATTTTTAGAAGCAGACCACCAGATCCTTTTTTTTTATGGTGCCTCCATGTGGACTCCTCCTTTCAGTTAGCAACTGAGCACCTTGAGTGTTTGAAGCACCACCTGGACTCCACCTGGACAAGAATTGGTCAGTTAAAAGACCCCTTCCTCCCAGATGAAACCCACTGTTCTCAGATTTGGCCTCATAGCAACCCTACACAGGGTTGCTGAGACTGTAGATCTTTACAAGCACAGGTAGTCTCGTCTTTCTCCTGCAGAGCAGCTGGCGGGTTGAAACTATGAGTCTTGCAATTGGCAGTGCCATGCTCACCCCAAAGTGCCACCAGGGCTTCTCAAACAACAAAAAGAGGAGGAAAGGAAACTAAGGACAAGCTTCAGCATCCTTTTTGGAGCATTAAATTCCAGAGATGCCTCTTGGTGTTTGGGATCATGTGGTCCTTGGAGAAAGTCCAAAGGTGCCTTGTGCTGTACTCCTTCAAGAGCCCAATTAGCATAATGGATATACAGTGGGAAGAACATTACTCTGTAAGGTTGATGCATGGAGTGAAAACCATGTACTCATATATTCAATCCAAGGGGCACAATTCTCTTATGAATGACTTCTCCTCTGGGGCTTTATGAAGAGGCACAGGAAAGAACGCTGGCAGCCTTCTTTCCAAGAGCGTTACAGCCGTTGCTGCGTCTCCTCAGCCTGTGGGAACACACGGGAGGATGTAGCTGCAGTGCGTTCTTTCATGCTGACTCCGCCTCCACCTTCAGGGTGGTGAGAAGTCCAGTTTCTTTCTGGGCTCTGCACCCCTTCTGGAAGTCACCAGGAGGTTACTGCAAGGTTTTCACGGACTCCCAAAAGTCCCCATTAGATTGACTGTGAACTCTGTGAGGGCAGAGAGCATGTCTGTTTCTCCCACCAACGTCTCCATTCAGAGCACATGTTAAACAGGAAACAGCTATTTATTTGAAAAAGTAACAAAGAAATAAAACTCCTTTTCTGCAGATGATGTTTTTTGGGTGCCTCCCCAGTTTCGGCTGCCAAGTCAAAGACTGCCACATCACCTTTGGGACTCCAGGCTCCCTGATTGTCTCCTAGTCCAGCTCTTGTCCTCAGCTTCCTACACCCTGCTTCTTTAAGGGCAAGAATTAAAAAATGTACTTGGTGGTAGGGAAGAGATGGCTGTTGGTAGGTGGTTCTGATCCATTGCAACTTTATGCACAGCAGAAAGGACACTGCTCAGACCTAGTCCACCCTCATAATTGTTTCTCTGTTGAGCCAATTGTTGAGGTCACTGTGTCAATCCATTTCCTTGAGGGGCTCTCTCTTTTTTGCTGCCCCTTCACGTTACCAAGTGTGATGTCCTTCTCCTGGGACTGGTCTCTCCTGACAAGATGTCCAAAATATGTAGTGGAAATCTTCCCATCCTAGCCTCTAAGGAGTACTGTGACCATACTTTTAAAAGACAAATCTGTTTGTCCTTTTAGCTGTCCAATTACAAGGATCCATGGAATGTGCCAGGGACCCTTGAAATAGATATGTTTAATGACTGGCTGTAGATCCGATTCTGCTTGATTTCTGATATCTATTCATTTGTAAGTGAACTAACTCCTGGTGGAGTGATCACTCAAGATCTGGCCCAGGCTCTTCATTTGTTTCTTGGAGTAACCTAAAGCTTACCTCAAGTAGGGGGTAGAGATATATACTTTTCTCTCTCTCAGCAGAACTCACTGGCTATAATGATAAGAATAGTAACACAACTTTTAAAAAGAACACTGTTATGGTGGACTTCATTCTGACCCGCAATGGGTGATTCCACATGTTATGGAGTAGAACTGCGACAGAGAGTTTCCTTGGCTGGGGTCTTCATGGAAGCAGGTCACTAGGTTCCCAGATATGTGAATTGAGCAATTATGTTGTGCAAAGAATTACATGTATTTGTATCATTTAATTTGTCGTATTAATGACAGGAAGATACGAAGTTATTCCCAATTTATATCAGAAGAGACTGGGCTTTGTCATCATTATTATAACATGTCCGAAGTCACCTACTAAAGAAAGCCAACTCTGGAATTGTGAAATATTATACTATGCCAAGAGCACCTGTGTCCCCTCCACCCTCAAATGATTTTATCTCACCATTATGAATTTGATGTTAACTACAAGATCAAAAACTCACTTCCATCAAGTTGATTCCGACTTGGGGACCCTACAGTGGTTCTCAACCTTCCTAATGCCGTGACGCTTTAATACAGTTCCTCATGTTGTGGTGACCCCCTCCCCCCAACCATAAAATTATTTTCATTGCTACTTCATAACTGTAATTTTGCTACTTTTATGAATAGGGCAACCCCTGTGAAAGGGTTGTTCAAACTCCAACGGGGTCACGACCCACAGGTTGAGAACCACTGGTATAGAACATGGTAAAACTGCCCCCGTGGGTTTCTGAGACTGTAACTTTTAATAGGAACAGAAAGCCTCATCTTTCTCTTGTGAAAGTAGGAGGTGGTTTCAGACTGCTGATCTTCTGGTTAGCAGTGCAACATAATTACCTACTATACCAGCAAAAGGAGTTACTATTATTGCTAATGATGAAGTAATGGAGGTTCAGAGATGAGTAACTTGACCCAAATCACACAGCTTGAATGTATTATAACCAATAAGAACTACCATGTGCTGAGTTTGATAAAAATGTGAGGCAAATTGAATTGATATATTGATTCATTTAATTATTAAAAATGACCCTATAAAGCAAGCATAGATTATATTTCCATTTTAAAGATGAGAATATGGATGTATAAAGCGTACATTGTCGAATACCACACAGTCTGCCACAGGAAGGTTAGGATCAGGGCTTGAACCCAAGTGAACTTGCCTCTTCAGACTTTATTCTTTTGACCATGTGATGGGTGTCATAATATCTTGGGCAGTCTACTGAGTAGTGAGTGGAGAATCATTTAGATAGGTCAGTAGGTCTTATGCTATCTAGAAACTGAAAGTTATCTTCCTTGATTTCCACAGCAATAGAGATGGTGCACCCCTATGACAAAGCTAAATAACAATTCTGATGGTAAGTGTGGGTTTTTTTGGTATTGATTATCCTTTCCTAATAGTCTTGTAATTGTAAAATAACGGGTTTCTAAAAGGCTACAAGCAGTTCTGGGAATGGCAATAAGGGTTTTGAAACAACATGTTGCTTCTTCGAAA